CTTCCGTGAGAGTTGTTGCAGAATCACGTGTGGAACTCAGTAAAAATACACATGCCCAGGCCTTACCCCCATGATGTATTTAGAAGGTCCGGGTTCAAATCCCAGAGTTCCAGATACGTTGCCTGGATTAAGAACCAGTACATGGAAGGAGTTCCTCTGTGGGAGGAATGGCTCTTATCTGCCTTTCCTTCTCTAGTACCTGAATCTGCTCAATGTGAAGTAGGAAACAGGAAACGTCAAAGCCTATGCGTAGGCTTGAAAGGAAGATAGGGCTCAGAATGAAGCAGGTATTAACCGATGGGCTGAAACTTTAATTTGGAAGCAGATTGAGAGTGGGCTCAAGTTGATTGCTTTTAGGACAGTGGCAACATCAACATGGTGTTTCAAGATGGAATCCAGCAGGAGAGTACAGCAGAAGCGCCGAGAAGGCAGAAAGGCAAGGAGGACTGCTAGGTGGCCCTGGCATTGATGTGGGCCTGTGTTCCGAGGGTCCTGAATAGGAAGTGGGACTTGGAAGTGGTACAGCTGGTGCTGCCGGGGAAGATGTATAGGGCTTGGCAGCTGGCGGACTGGGTTTGGCAGGAAGAAAGGCAGCGAGGACGTCTTGAAGCCCTGCTTGTGTGGCAAGACTGTAAGTGTCTGTGCCTGTGGATGAGTCTCTAACAGGCGTAATTTGGTTTTGGAGTTTGGCAAAACCAGAGCCTTCATGGGAACACTGGAAAGACCTAGTCGCTTGGGCTATTCTGCATACCTGATTGTGGCTGTTTGGTTCTAAAGGGAGTGAGGTGATGGCTTTGTGTACCCGCTGCGTTATTCAGGGTCTTCCTGGAATGTACAGGGAAAGAAGAAAAGGGCTGCCTTTCTCTCTTGGCTCCAGCCCACTCACCTCAGGGGGCTGACCTGCCTCACCTCACCCCCACAGCCTGCCGGACCTGCCAAGACCTTCAGCTTGGAGAGCTGCTGTCCTCTGGACTAACCAGACTGGGCAGATGTAGATTAAGACTGACCAGTTGTGACCTCATCCTTGTTCTCCTTGTTCAACTGATCAACTAGACTTTACCAAGAAGGAGTGTTACTAGTGAGCCAGGAGAAACAAGCACAGGCAGTATAAAAGGATAAACAGAAAACCCGCACACGTGGCTCACAGTTCTGCCCCTGCAGTCTCAAGCTTGTGATTTCCTAAAGAATCTCGCTCTCCCTCCCTGGCAGGAGTCAGTTTCGTCATCTATGAGGCTGTCTTGGTCTGACTCTAGTCTCATTTTTCTTAACGTGCAGGATTTGCAAACCCAAAGAGAGAACCCTTGATTGGATAAGGGGAGTAAACTTTCTAACGTGGTAACAACCTTCATAGGTTCATAGCTGTGGTTATGCTGTCAAGCCTGTTTGTTTCTTGTCTCCTCTTATCTCCTTGTGTTCCCTTCCACAACAGACCACAGAAGGTTACTTCCTGGCCCTCCCCTTCAGAAACTGTGTTCTCTCTGTAGGAGACCTCCCCTGGGACTCTACGTTTTTAGTTCCCAGGAAACTAGGACTAAGGAACTCCTAATTCCAGATTCCTTGAAAGATAAAGACTGACATCTTGGGCTTGTGAAGAATGTTGAGCCACAGTTTTCAATTTCTCCCCCTCAACCCATGCCTTCTGGAGAATTCTATAGTTAGCTCCCTCACATTCTTGCAAGAGACTGATTTACACAAGTCTAAATATTATAAACAGCTTTTAAAATTACAGTAGCACAAGAAAAAGGCGTGTTCTTGGGACCAGCAGTTAGTGTAATGGCTATGTCGCTGGACTCGCACGTAGTCGACCGCGGTTCGAGTCCCGGACCCGGCGGCTTAAACTCATGCCGGGTGCATGTGCGTGCATGCCCAAGATCCCGAGAGGAAAAAGGAGGAGAAGGGATTGCAGCATGGCCATCCCCCCTGGGGGGTGATTTCTCGCTTTCTGTCTCTCTCTGTCTGTCTGGCGAGCACACACACCCTATAGCAAACACCTCTCCAAAATAAAAGAAAAGAAAAAGGGCGCCTTCTCAAATGGTGCAGTAAACTACTCCCCTTTAACCACACTGGGAGGGGCCAGACCTGCAGCAGAATTCTATATTCTTTCTCCATACACCAGGGGGTACTGGCCCCTTCACTGCAGGAGGTGAATTCATATTTCAGGTCCCATCTTCTTCCTATTGATGTGTGTGGGGAGGACTCAGTGGCCCACAGCCGCCTCTTCCTTTGAAACAGTGATCCGCTTGGTTCAGGAATGAATTAGAGCTGAATCAGTGGATGGGTATTTGCAGAGCAGGAAGAGCCTTCCTGCCTTCTCTGCAGATCTCTCCCACTCTGCCTGGCTTCAGCTCCCCCTGGGTGTCAGGGATATGGATGTAATGCCGGCACCTGCCTGTGCCTGGCTCTACCACCAGACTCTGTCACCACCACACACAGTAGGTCCACAATGTATATATGTACACTAGATCCGTGTTAGGCATTGAATGAATACATTGGAGAGTTTCATGAGGGATATCCAAACTTCTGAGTTGCTCATTAGCTGTTTAGATCATTTATATAAAATCTGTGTATTGTTTTGACTTTCATTTTAGTAAATCAGTTTTAGAACTTATAACATTGTCTTTCTTTTACTATCTGGAATAATGGCAACTTACAAAATGTACATAAAAGGGACTTCTAAAAGCTCATGGAGAAGTGAAATTAAAGTATGAGTTTATTTTGGTGCAGAAAAAAAATATGAAAGCTGGGAACCAGCAGTTAGCGTAATGGCTATGTTGCTGGACTCCCACGTAGTCGACCGCGGTTTGCGTCCCGGACCTGGTGGCTTAGAACTCACGCCGGGCGCGTGTGCATGCGTGCCCAAGATCCCGAGAGGAGAATGGAGGAGAAGGGATTGCAGCATGATCATCCCCCCTGGGGGGTGATTTCTTGCTTTCTGTCTCTCTGTCTCTGTCTGTCTGTCTGGCGAGCACATGTGCCCTATAACAAAAACCTCTCAAAAAAAAAAAAGAAAGAAAGAAAAAAAATGAAAGCCATACATAGTTTTTTCATAATACACATTTTTTTTCGTGAACTTTTTGAAGATTCTCCATATATGCTCAACCTTCTGGTTCCTTAACCTTGCTCTTAAATTGCCATTTGATTTGCACTGATTCGTCTGGAAAGTGAAGTGAAATGGCATGAGGAATAGTTTCTCACATTGGTTTTTACAGAGGTGTCTACAGGATTTCTCTAAAACAGATTTTTTTTTCTTTTTTTTTTTTTTTTTTTTTTGAGAGATTTTCACTGTAGGGCGCGTGCGCTCGCCAGACAGACAGAGAGAGACATAGAGACAGAAAGCGAGAAATCACCCCCCAGGGGGGATGGTCACGCCGCAATCCCTTCTCCTCCATTCTCCTCTCGGGATCTTGGGCACGCACGCACACGCACCCGGCGTGAGTTTTAAGCCACCGGGTCCGGGACACGAACCGCGGTCGACTACGTGGGAATCCAGCGACATAGCCATTACGCTAACTGCTGGTTCCCGCAGATTTCACAATAATTCTTGAATTCTTAAATGACAGTCTCCCTTCAGGTGCTAAGACAGATTGGACTTTCTTCACAAATATTTCTGTTAAATATTAATCAGTAGGAAGCTCATGCCTGTTAGTCTTCTTTGGTCTTCTATTAGGTCGTCAGAAAAGTCATGACATGTTTTTCCATAGAATGTGCTTTCCATAGAAAAATACGTCATGACTTTTCTGACAACCCAGTAGAAGGTTCTGTTAAACTAAATTGGCAATGCTTCAGCAGCTGGGTTTTATGTCCTGCTAAAAGGGCCAGAGGACTGTATCAGACTGTCCTTATAGGGGGCACTTTTGATGTCCTTGTTCCTGTAAGTAAAGACATGAACTTCCTGATAGTACTCACTTAGGATACTTCACTTTTTATGTAGAAGCTATAGTAACATCAGCGCTTTGAGAAAGTCTTCAGCCCTGAAGACTTCAACCATGCTTTCATTGGTAACTCACTAGCTCTTGTCACCTCACTTCAACTTGAAACTGTTGGATCATTGGAAAAGTCATGATGCATTTTTGCATAGAAAAATGCATCATGACTTTTCAAATGATGGACTCTGACTTGTCACCCAGCTGCAAGCTCAGTGACGAGCAGAGGTGGGAGTTTGGAGAGTCGAAGTAGCAGTTCTCGATCCAGAAGTTTCACTTTGGTGAGTGATAGTTTTCTTGAATGCTTTTTCTCTTTACATTTATTTCTTTATTTTCTCCATGAGAGAGAGAAATAGGTAGGTTACCCTTGACAGGGTCTTGCCACACCATGATCTGCCCCCAGGCCCTCCAGCCAGCCAGGATCGTGACAACCACAGGCACACCTGGTGTGTTCAGATCAAATGACCCAATGTAATGGAGCTGGAAAAGGAAAATAACTTTGTGATGTCTGAGGTAGAAAAGTCTGGGAATGCCTGAGCCTGAATGTGAGAGCATAAGAGTACGGAGCCTCAGTGCCAAAATGTTACTCTATCAAATCCCTAGTATGCAAGTTGTTTTCATTATAGCCATCTTTCCTTGATAATGAATCTGACAGAGGCTAGCCCTATATCCTAGTGGTTTAAGGGAGCCAGATCCCACATAGCTGACTGCAGTTCAAATCCCAACCCCAAGGCCTTGAAAAACATACCTAGCACATGTATGTGTGTGCCCTAAATCCCAACAGGCTGGAGAAATGCAAGAAATGGTTTGTGGTATGGTCATACCCAATTAGGGGGTGTTTTCTTCTGTCTCTAGTAAACATGTGTACTCTCTGGTAAATGGGGAACAAGATAAAGGACAAATGGAAACCAGCACCCCCAAACAAATTGATGAAGGTTTTCTAATTATTTTTATCCTCAGCATTCACTCTGTGAATATAGACAAATCTAACTCATGCTGAAGCATTAGTTTTTGAGGGCTAGCCGTCTCACGGTCTAGGCTTACTAACCATTGTCACTTTGTGCTTAATTTCTCTAGATTTAACCACTGCCTCAGAATGGGATCTGGCTCCTTGCCTACTTCCTATGATCAAGCCAGCGACTGAGGTACTTGGGGATGCCTGTAAACCACCAGAAGTTAGACTCTTCGGAGATGGACTCTGACTTGTCACCCAGCTGCAGGCTCAGTGACTTGAGCAGAGGTGGGAGTTTGGAGAGTCGAAGTAGCAGTTCTCGATCCAGAAGTTTCACTTTGGTGAGTGGTAGTTTTCTTGAATGCTTTTCTCTTTACATTTATTTATTTATTTTCTCCATAAGAGAGAGAGAAATAGGTGGTTACTCTTGACAGGGTCTTTCCACACCATGATCTGCCCCCAGGCCTTCCAGCCAGCCAGGATCATGACAACCACAGGCATACCTGGTGTGTTCAGATTAACCAGGAATCTAAACCCTGGGCCTCCCCTATGGCCGCAGTATTGCTCTGCACCCCCCTGTCACCTGCATCACTACAGTTTGGGCTGCTTTAAGGCTTTTATGTACTTTGGTTGGTTGATTTTGCCCCAGTCCCTCTCCTTTTGTAAAGAATAGCTTGTAAAATCTTTTTGGGTGAACTAACTTGATGTTTCAGGATATTTCTTTTGAAATGGCACTTTTTTATTTGTATATATATATTTTTCTTTGTCTTGGTCTCTTTTTGGGGGCTAGAGGCTACATGCACTTCCTGGAGAGAAAGAGAGAGACTGAGAAAGAGATCAATCCCCTTTGGGGATGGCCACACTGCAATCCCTTTTTCTCCATGTCTTTATTTGGGATTTTGGGCATGCACGCACATACACCCAGCAGGTTCATACTATCAGTCATGAGGGATCTAGCCATCTTAACCACCATGCCACTGACTGGCCTGGCATTTTATTTTATTTTATCTTATTTTTACATTATTAGGTTTTTGCCATGGGATGCCAGAGAAAGAGACAGTGAGAAAGAAAGTGAGAAATCATCCCTCAGTGCGGATGGCCATGCCACAATCCATTCGCCATGGGATGCCAGAGAAAGAGACAGTGAGAAAGAAAGTGAGAAATCATCCCTCAGTGGGGATGGCCATGCCACAATCCATTCTCCATTCTCTTCCTGGGATTTTGGGCATGCATGCACACATGCCTTTTTTCAAGCTGCCAAGTCCAGGACTCAAGCCATGGTCTGCCATGTGGGAGTCTAGCACCTTAACCACCACACCACCTGCTAGACCCAATTATATTTTTTAAAGAATTTTTCATTTAACTTTACTTATTGATTGATTGATTGATTGGTTGGTTGATTTGACCAGAGAGGGACAGAGCAAGCAAGAGAGAGGGAAAGACTGCCAGGTCCAGGACTCGAACCGCAGTTGGCCATGTGGGAGTCTAGCAAACACCACACCACCCACCGGCCCTAGACCCAATTATTTTGAATCATCTTAAATTGTGCACAAATACTAAGCTTCCCCATAGCAGTGGCACACATCTTTAGCCTCACCAGTAACAAGTTTCTGCTTAGTCCCAGAAAGGACCACACCCGAGGCAGTCACTAACCTAGGAAGGGCACTGCTGCCTTTCCGCTCACTTGACTGAAAAAGAAAGACCTCTCTAGGCAAAAACAATTTACTGTAAAACAGACTTTTAACACCTTTACAAATATAAATGCTCCTATATATTCTGTATTTCTTTCAGAATCCAGAATCTTGCAGAGCATTAACCAGCTTTGAGAATTTTATAAAAGGGGCTTTAGGTTTAGTTAAGAGGTGATTCCTTTACATTTTTCCCCCTGAGGGTACTATCTTTCAGGAGAGAGAGAGCATTATATTCACGGAGGAGAGAAGGGACCCTCAGACTAGTGATGGTCTGTGCTTGTCTTATTTGTCATCTTCAAGTGGCTGAGCCCTTCAATACATCTTCAATACACTGAGCCCTAAAGTTAGTCCTAATTATGTTAAAGATATGGAAGATAGACATGGTATGGACTTTTAAATTCTTAATAGTCGAGATTGAATTTTGCAGATGTCTGCTTGCGTATTTTCTTTTCTAAACCATCTTGTAATATGTAATCAATGTTATTTGATTACATAATTACAAAAGAAAACAATATAACAAATTAATCTCTGAGTCTCAAAGAGCCTACAGATATTTTTTAAGAATTATTTTATTTAATTTTATTTATTTTTACATTTTTGACCAGAGAGGGATAGAGTGAGACAGAGAGAGAAAGAGAAAGTGAGAAAGTAAGCTGCCAGGTCCAGGACTAGAACCACAGTCAGACATGTGGGAGTTCAGTGCCCTTAACCATGCCACATGCTGGTCCCAAGCCTATAGCTATTTAAGAATGAATTGTTTGAAACTAATATTTTAATTTTTAGAAATAATGCAAGTACATTTTTAAAAAAATTGCTTTAGAGGTTTTTGCTATAGGGCGCATGCACTCGCCAGAAAGACAAAGAGAGACAGAGAGACAGAAAGCAAGAAATCACCCCCCAGGGGGGATGGCCATGCCACAATCCCTTCTCCTCCATTCTCCTCTTAGGATCTTGGGCATGCATGTACACATGCCCAGCGTGAGTTTAAGCCACCGGGTCTAGGACTCGGAACCGTGGTCAGCTACGTAGGAGTCCAGTGACATAGCCATTACGCTAACTGCTGGTCCCATAGAAGACATCTTAGAAGAATATGTGGTCCCAGCCTGGGGGGCAGTTGATAGCATGCTGAACTGCACTGCTGGAAGCCACATGCCAAACAGTTTGAATCCCTGGCCCTGTCAGTTTAGAACACGTTGGGCGTGTGCACAAGTGCCCAAGATCCTGATGAAATGGAGGACTAGGGGAAGGGGATTGCAGAGTGATGAATCCCTATCGAGGGTGCTTGCTTACCTGTGTTCTCTCACTCTGCATTTTTGACCAGAGAGGGATAGAGTGAGACAGAGAGAGAAAGAGAAAGTGAGAAAGTAAGCTGCCAGGTCCAGGACTAGAACCACAGTCAGACATGTGGGAGTTCAGTGCCCTTAACCATGCCACATGCTGGTCCCAAGCCTATAGCTATTTAAGAATGAATTGTTTGAAACTAATATTTTAATTTTTAGAAATAATGCAAGTACATTTTTAAAAAAATTGCTTTAGAGGTTTTTGCTATAGGGCGCATGCACTCGCCAGAAAGACAAAGAGAGACAGAGAGACAGAAAGCAAGAAATCACCCCCCAGGGGGGATGGCCATGCCACAATCCCTTCTCCTCCATTCTCCTCTTAGGATCTTGGGCATGCATGTACACATGCCCAGCGTGAGTTTAAGCCACCGGGTCTAGGACTCGGAACCGTGGTCAGCTACGTAGGAGTCCAGTGACATAGCCATTACGCTAACTGCTGGTCCCATAGAAGACATCTTAGAAGAATATGTGGTCCCAGCCTGGGGGGCAGTTGATAGCATGCTGAACTGCACTGCTGGAAGCCACATGCCAAACAGTTTGAATCCCTGGCCCTGTCAGTTTAGAACACGTTGGGCGTGTGCACAAGTGCCCAAGATCCTGATGAAATGGAGGACTAGGGGAAGGGGATTGCAGAGTGATGAATCCCTATCGAGGGTGCTTGCTTACCTGTGTTCTCTCACTCTGTCTTTCTCATGTGCACACATACACATTATCTAATGAATTTTTTTAAAAGAATATGCAGAAAAGACAGATTAATATTCCACTAATTAGGGGCCTGACTTCTTCTGCAGCGCTCTTGGCTGAGGTAGGGCGGGGTTGCAGGTGCCAACTGGTCCCCACCATGGCCACTGCATCAGAGCCCGGCGAGGTGGTAAAGGGGAAGGTGGAATTAGAAGTCAGGTGATGTTGGAGTAGAAGGATTTATCTTAGCAACTTTAGGATGCTGGTTCCACCATAGGTATAATGATGCAAAGCAAAGAATCCAGGAAAGAATTGCCAGAAAAGGAATGAAAAATATGATACTATACGAAAGCACTCTCCTTGATCCTGAAAGAAAGCAAAGCAAGGGCTTTTTAGTTAAGTGATCTTGAGCACAGAGACCAAAACACAACTCACTGACATCGGTGTGAACAAAGCTGAGGTCAACCACGTAAAACGTTAAATGTACAGTAAGAAAGCTCTCAGTCAAGTAAATAAAGTATGTAGAAGTTGTCGTCTTTTCACACTGAAACGAAAATGTGCCAACTCACTCTGGCCTGGTATCTGTGCCAGTACACCATTCCTGTTACATATGGTAGACCTGTCACACTTAAGATACGACAGTTTACTTACAGTGTGATTTAGAATTACAAAATCTAGTGTTTAATGTACTTGAAAGAATTTCCTTGTCATAAATAATGAATTGAAAAAGAAAATTCCACTAATTAGTGGGTTATGTTCTTCAAAGCATAGTTAGGAAATAGTCATGCTCTGATGTGGGAGGGCATTTCTTTCTTGTTTAAAAGTTATTTTTATTTTATTTTATTTTTAATTGGCAGAGGGCATATGCGTTCACCAGAGAGAGAGACAGAGAGGGA